AGGAGGGGCCGGGGGTGCTTCAAGAGGGTGGAGATTTGGGGGGGGGGGTCCCTGGGGGAAGGGAGGGGAAGCCGGACCCTGCCTGGAGGGGGGGGGCTGCCGGTGGTCCCGGGCTGGGCTGCCGGGGATGGCAGGCGGCGCTTCGGGCGTTCCCAGGAGCCCGCTCAGCCCCGCAGGACCTGATCGGGGCTCCTGGATGGAGGAAGACGCGGCGATCTGCGGAGTGGGGGGGGGCGGAAAGTGGGGAGGGGTATTTTAGAGAAAAGTGTGTTGCCTGCCTGTCAAACTCAGGGCAGCGTGTAAGAAAACCACCTATGAAGAGCCCCCACCCCGCCCTTTGTAAACAGGGCTGCTAGGAGATCCAAAGGATGGGAGGGGGCGGCTGCTGGACCTCGATCTCCCTGGGAGAGGTGGAAGCTGCAGCCCCCTCTCTTGGTCCACATGTGGCAGACAGACAGACTCCTTGGGGAGAATAGGGCCCTGGAGGCCATAAGGAGCTTTAGAAGTAACCATGGGGCCCTTGCGTTAAGGCAGAATCCTGAACAAGCAGCACAGCTCCCTTAAAACAGGTGTGGGCCTGCCTGGGGCCAGCCAATGAATGAGCAGCTGCCCTTCCAAGTTACCTTCAAGGGCAGCCCCAGGTCAAGCAGATTGCAGTAGCCTAAGAAAGGGAAGGGCAGGAGCTCCAACCACTGTCCTCTGCACCACCTGGTCAAGGGAAGGGTGTAACCGGTGGCCTGGCTACGGTTGGCCAGAGGCTGCCCTGTCCGTAGCCTCTATCTGCTTCTCTCTTTGGAACCACAAGTCCAGGAGAACTCCCCAGATTGGCCCCCTGCGACGTCTCCTACTTCACCTGCATAGAGATGTAAATGTGAGGCTGGATAAGGCCAGCGTAGCGAGGGTGCCTAACCCCAAGGCCACCTGTGACATCCCTTGATGGTTGCGCTGCCCCAGGGCAAACTCTTCCCCCTAACAAGCTCGATTGGAACTGCCCACTTAGGAGGGAGGCAGAAGCATGCCAGCCAACTTCTCCCACCCCACCGGATGGATGCTATGGAAAGCTAGGGACAAGGAGGGGAGGGCTACCCCATCAAGGTCCTGCTGCATCCCCAGGCCTAAGTGGGTGGCTCTGCCTTGCCCAACAGAGGCTGGGCCGAGGCAGGTTCTTACGGTCCCTTGCCAGGTATTGCAAGGAAAATCATTGGCCAGTGAAGGACAGAACCTGCCAGGTTTCGTTAGCAGAGGAAGGAAAACGAAGCCATAGTGGTTTTTTCTGCACCTTCAGGCCTGGAAGCCACGAACCTCTAACTCTGCCCAGTCTGGCTCCCTCTCACGTTGCAAATCGTGGGCAGAGAGATGCCCTGGAGCTGCTTATGGCCGGGCCCCATCCGCGGGAGACCAGCAAGCAGAGTCTCCCTTGGAGTAGCTGCCTAGCTTGCTCCACACTCCCGTGGTTATCCCAATAAATGCTTTGCCTTTTTTAAGTGCTACCAATGCCTGGATGGTCTGAAGCAGTGTTTCTCAACCTTGGCAACTTGAAGATGTCCGGACTTCAACTCCCAGAATTCCCCAGCCAGCGAATGCATTCGCTGTCTGGGG